TGTGAAATTCTCTCTTTTTTTTTTTTTTTAAATCCTGCTCTCAGTTGTGTTCCTTAACTGGTTTTGCTTCAACACTCAAGATTTTACATTTAACATCAAGCGGTGACCCTAACAGCATCAAACCCATTTTTAAAGGAATAGTTCACCCCAAAAAATGAAGATTTGCTTCAAATGTACTCACCCTCAGGCCATCCAAGATGAGTTAATTTATCATGCTAACCAATGGATCCTCTGCAGTGAATGGGTGCCGTCAGAATGAGAGTCCAAACAGCTGATAAAAACATCACAACAATCCACAAGTAATCCACCAACATATTTGTTTAAAAATGTTTTGGACTACTTTCACTTGGAAACAGAGCTTGATCTGTGCCTATTTCTCTCCTAATTCAGATGAGAAAATGTTTTCAATGGAAAAGGTAATATTATGGATAGACATATTAATGAAGGATTTGTTTCTTACAAATATGCAGCTTTTCACTTCACAAGATGTTATCTGATGAACAGGATTCATGTGGATTACTTTTGGACTCAGCTGTTTGGAATCTCATTCTGACGGCACCCATTCACTGCAGAGGATCCATTGGTTAGCATGATAAATTAACTCATCTTGGATGGCCTGAGGGTGAGTACATTTGAAGCAAATCTTCATTTTTTGGGGTGAACTATTCCTTTAAAAATGGGTTTGATGCTGTTAGGGTCACCGCTTGATGTTAAATGTAAAATCTTGAGTGTTGAAGCAAAACCAGTTAAGGAACACAACTGAGAGCAGGATTTAAAAAAAAAAAAAAAAGAGAGAATTTCACAGGTATTGATCTAAGAATATTTAATTGGAAAAGTCAGTTTCAAAAATACAAGGCAAATCCAGGGAAAATGGTGCTTACAGCTCACCGAGTCGGGTACTGCGGCCTTCTCACAACGGCAATAAATAACTACTATAGCACAGACATTGATTTCACCTCTTCTAAATCCATCAGTGAAACACACTCATAATACCATGACCAAGTGAAGCAGAACACATTTAAGCTGTACTGAGTGATGGTTCAGTGTTCCCATTTTCTCAATCATGTGGGGCAGAAACTAAATCAGTTAAGACTGTGAGTATTAGCCAGTATGTTCCACTATTAATATGAATAAACAAATTAACAAGTACATAATGGACATATGGAATTAACATATGCGTGTGCACAAAGGTCATTACAAATGATCTATCTACAATGATCAACATTGCAAAAAACGCACTTTAATGGCAACTTAACACTATTAGCACAAACCAGGAAAAAAATATAAGCGCAATGACAAAAAAAAAAGAGAGAGAGGTTTGGCACAACACAAAATAAGAAGGATTTAACTGAAATGGCACAGTATTCAGTGCTACAATTATGGACCTGATGCCGTTAGTACTTTTTAAAAATAGCTAGAAAGAAGCGATACATGATTGCAAATAATAAAAACTGCAAGTTAGTGCATGAGTACGTGCCTTTAAACCAAGCCGACAGATAACTGAATAAATGGCTCGCCGAGATTATTTCAACACAAACATCCACACAAATTCATAAGATATTAAAACACCAAATCCATGAGTAATACTAAGCTTCAAAGAAAATGGAGAACTTAAAAAGTCCAGTGACAAAAAAACTGGACCCGAGCTAGACCCGGCTGAGGCGGGAGGATCTCTGTGGTTTAAATAAGGACGGAAAAGAATCGGAAAATCGCTGAACGTCGACCCTGTCACGGTAAAGACTATGTACAACAGGAGGGCAGCAGTCCATCAGCAGGGGAAATCCTCCCATTCACATGGCTCAGTTACACAAGTGTTTTTAAATATTCACGTTCTACGTCTAATTCCTAAACTAATATCCCATAGGCTGGGCTGGTCACCTCATAGAGACGGACTTCATATAGCATTGCACAAAACACAGGTGTTTTTCAGGTCTGCACTCATTCAAAGCGGACCTGGATGTGATTTTCCTGGGAGATACGTGACAGAACTTCACCTTGACTAAGTGATACTAAACATTAACATAGTTTCTGTGGGTTAACTTTCCGTTACACTGAAACTACAGGGACCATTTCGGCACTACATACCTGGTTATGCTGACTGTGTCACAAGAAACTGAGGCTATGAACATGCAGACATCGATGGCTTTACATTGCAGGTTTTCGTTTTGCATACAGACAACAGGAAGAGTTTCTCACATCCAGGATGGGGGAAGTGCCAGAACGAGCATCCTATCATACATGATACCTCCTCCTGCTGGTTTAAATTAGCCCTCTGCAGACCTTGTGTGGAAAATGGGTCAGATCTATCATCAAAATAGATGGGTTTGTATCTAGTGTGTTCTGAACCGGGTGTGCGGATGAGAGTTTGTTGTGGGGATCAGTGGCTGTGTTCTGCGTTTAATGCTTTAAATGTCTCTTGGTGCGCTCCACTCTACCTGTGCAAAAGGGAACTGGAATAGCTGGACTACACTAAACGTAGTTTAGGACAGACGGTCTGAGAGACTATAAGAATGCACTGGGGTTCGCTCTCGGGTCCTTTTGGTTCCTGAAGCGCATGGCCAGCCAAACTCCTAAGATCTGAGAAAAAGGACAGAAATATTGATTAGAAACACAATACTGGAGTATAATCAGGTGCGCATGCTCGACCACAATAAAAAATGCGCCTTGACCGCTCATTTGCGTACCGACGTGGTTGACAGCTGTTAATGCACAATTACCATTTTAGATCGACAAACTGTAATACTGTATAAGATTTCTATTCGAACTGAAATCATAAATCTAGGCTATCCACTGCTGTTTTCAAAGTACAATGCAAAACTGTGACATTTCATTCACTGGCGCTTCTCAATCGGCAGCGCTAAACCCGGGAGCACATATACTTACTTGCCGGCAACACTTTATTTTAAAATTTACTACAAAATAATTGTATTTTTATTTAATACTCCCTTTTATTTTAAAATATAATAGTATTATCAAACTTAATTACTTTGTTTATTTTAATTTAACAAAAACGAAATAAAGTGCAATAATATTATCATCACTATTATTAATTTATTTTTTATAGTTATATTTAAAGGGTCACATTATGTGCAGTGTGAGGACCAAAACCAAATCTCCAGGTGCTCTTATGAGAACCAGGCTGAAAAACCTATGTGCACCCCTGAGTATAATAGCTATAAGCAAAAAGTCATTCACGTTCATGTGCTAAAGTAACTGCATCATTTTAGGCAAATTAACACTTCAATGCGTGGCTGAAAGTGACTTATTTATATATAAGCAATATGATACAAGAGATCAATGTTCAATATTAAATAAACATTGTTCTATAATAATATATTGTAATATTACATTCTAAATGAATAAATGTATTCTGCTAAATGAATATTTTTTTAACTGAAACAAAGCTACATTAAAAAATTTTAAACAAAAAGAAAAAATGAAATTTTAAGTACTAAAATGAGTCAAACAGAAAATAAAAAAATAAAGATAAATAAAAAACCTACTAAAACATAAAAGCACAGAACAAAATGACAAAAATTAAAATAAAAATGAAAATATAAAAATAAAAGCTAATTAAATATATTACTGAAGAACTTGACTCAATATAAAATTCAACTAATGTACAGTCTCATGTCTGTATATTTAACAACAACTTTGAATGTGGTTAATGCAATCAGATCTTAAATAAAGAACTGTTTTAAATTAAACATTCCGTAGAATATTTTTTCAAGTCATTTTGAGAAGTTACGAGTCTCAAAGTCATGTACTTGTTGAGTATGTGGGATTTTATTTTACTCTTTTACACTTAATAACAACGACAACTATTTTTTTGATCTCATACAACTAAATGAAGAATAAAGGATGGAAAGGAGCTCTAAATGTGGAAATGATACTTCATATGCATTTCATCCTTCTAATGATGGGAAATGTAGTAGGTTACATTCTTAATTGCAAATCATAACAATTTATTCCAACCATGATTCTCTAACTGACTCCTTCCCTAACCCTGACTGAAAGAAGTCCAGATCTCCCACTAGTTACCACCTGAAC